GGGCAGGAAGAAAGTGGTTCAAGGAATCTTTGGGAGGAAAGTGGCTCTCTCGAATATTATAGTTCCAGGAATCTTTGCAGCTTTGTCAAGTAGTCATGTGGCAATAATGAGGGACAACAGATGGACAAAGCTGCTTAATGAATGACAACTATGTAATGTTATGAGGAAACAATGTGCGATTCCACTGCGATGTAATGATTCGCTTGAACAGCCTAAACGGATTTGTTTGGACGAGAGAGGCTCAAAACTTAGTTGAATAGAGAATTCATTAGCTACCTCAATGGCGAGAAGAAACGCAACGATGAAACTGCAGCTGATCAAAATATTGAAGTAAAATATACATAGTTTGGCGAGTTAACCAACAATTTTTTATCAAAATGCATCGCAAATAGGCCTCGTAAATTTGAGATTCCAATTCACACTTTTCGTTCTCTCTTGCTTCGAAATGTCAGAGCTATGCAAACAGCTCAGCAAGTGAATCACTATTTTAATGATCTCTGTGTATTCGCAATGAATCCGATCTTATTGATTTTTACGCGTTTTTGTAGAGTACCATTGCTGCTATTATTGTCATCGTTATTATTATTGTCGTCATCGTCGTCATCACTATTATTATTACTATCATTAGTGACTTGCTTTTCTTTTTTTTGTTGACTATAAGTGTTCAGTCGTTTGAAAAATGTTGAGCAATTTTCCAAAAATCTGAAGGGGTACATGAAAGTACTTAGGAGAGGCGCTTTTTAAAAAAAATCCTATTTTATTGCAGTGCATCGGCGCCTATGTAGAATTTGTGGGGTATTTCGAAATAAATTTTTTAATTATGACGCTCAGTCGACGCGGAACATTGTGTCAGGTTGCGCAACTGTTTATTATTCGTCATCGCATCCACCCTCTTTTCCAGTACAGCGAACACTTTTCCGGAAATTTCTTCCGCGCTTCGTCCACGCTAACTGTTTTCTAGTCTCGCAACAGATTACGAGCACTTGTATTTACAAGTCGGTCGGTTTTTGGCTTTAAAAGCAAAAAGCCTGGAAGTCGGCTTTTTGCTTTTAAAGCAATTTGCAAAAGTGGAAGTCATCGACATCCTTGCCGGCTTGTGGATTCCTTTGATTTGCTCTCTCAGTCGAGCAACTCCTAAACGCCTCAGTTTCTCATAAAAAGTAAATGCGCAAGGTGTTATTGGGTTTCTCGTGAAGTCGATTTTTATAGGTTGAGAGTAGATAAACTCAATTTTCGGGCTATTGATCGAGGTCCTTCAGGTTTTCTTTAATAATCCGGACAAAAAGATGTGTTTAATATTTTGTGTTCCCAAACCCATTATTATCCTTCTCAAAAAAAGCCAGTCTTTGCGATAATCCGGGGATCTCGATATTAATTCAGCCCCATTTTGTAAAAATGATGACATCTGTAGCAAAATCAAGAAGGTCTGGAAAAAATTCGCAACTGGACTCTACTACGTTAGTTTCAGCAACTGCTGCAAACCAGATGACCGCTGGTCAAAACCATGCAAATTATTGTTGAGAAAGTTTCACACCAATGGTGAATTGCGATTTGCTAGGGTCATTTTGTAGAATCAGTCTCATAAGATTCCCACTTTGTATTCTTGAGATTTTTCCGAAATTTTTTCCTTCTGCTGTTCTTCTCCCGCCATTTTGCTCACATTGCTCTCAAATGTCTTTCTTTTTCGTTATTACGGAGACTGCAGTCGTTCTCTTGGAGTATGAAAACTGCACCAAATTTTTTGGGCAAAAGCCTTCCTCCACCCTTCCTTTTCCCCTTCCAAATCCCTCTTCGCCCTCTTGTGGACGTTTTTTACATATTGGCAAATTCTCGAAGAATGCTGTTAAAATGAAGTGCGGAATGTGCTCGGGAACAATAGTCTGTTTCATTGATTTCAATCTAGCATTTCCCCTGGCTGACGTGGTGGAAGAGTAGTATGTTACGTTGCTTTCATCATTCATTCGGAGAATTTGCTACAAACTATTCGCTGATCAAATAATTGCGTCGTGAAGGGTTAAAAGTTTGTTAATGATATGCCAAAAGTTCTAGGAGCTGCTGTTTTATCAAGCGATCCATAAGAACTGGGGACGGGAAGGGGAGGGGGATGAAAAAGAAACACTTTCGCTTTTTAGCGAAAGTGTCTGTTAGGTGTTACAAAAAAGTAAACATGTATACCTCAGCTTTTCGCATTCTGTGAAGTGCTCAAATTGTTTTTTTTTTTTAATTTCTTAATTTTCCATTGCCTTCTTACTGATGTTTTAGATGTAACTCTTCAAACTCCCGGACAACTTATCAAGTCTCGTCACAGCACAGCGGCCGTAAAAATCGCGAGCCTATGTTTGCTTCTTCGCATATACCTGTCGAAACCAAGCTGAGCCCTTTTACCTGCGTGTATCTGTATTAAAAACTGTAAAAAGTGGTCCCCAATTACAATAACTGGTTCCTAAAAGCCTTATCGTGAAAGAGGCCTCAATTGGATATTAGTGATTTATTGTTCTGAAAGATAATGAAACCGAATCAGGCATTCCGGTGGTTCACAGATGGCCTGGATAGAGTCCAGTAACCCCTTGTTTGGACCTTACCTTCTTTGTTTGTTCATGTTTTGTTTGTAACTTCGAGAAGCGAAACCTAAATCATCCCTTCGCCATATAGGATGTTTGATGTGTAGCTTCAGAAGGGGTTTATAAACACACCTCTTTGCCTGATCGAATTACACATGAGTTGTCGTTGCTATATAACCACCACCTCTTTGGAGTTCGCTCTCGAAGTCAACTTTTTGGGTACCATTCGATAAATTGTGATAGTAAGCGAACGTCAGATGGACAAATATTCAAATTTTTCAAAGTCAACTGTTTATTTCTAATATTAGTTGAATCACTGCGTTTCATATTAGCAAATTTAAGCATCACTGGCACCACTGTGTGTTTTGCGGGTATTCTACGCGGTTGGTTATTGTGCATTGCCTACAAGCTCGTCACTGAAGATTTCAATCGTTGAGTTTACCCGGATATCAGACTATCTTGTCTCGGATTTTTTTTCCTCCTATTCCTGTCATGTGTCCTGAAAAGGCTCGGATTTTGCTTTGTTCTTCGATATACCATTAATCGCCAGGCACAGGTCATAGCCTGTTATGTGGATCTAGCATATGTCTAACTGAATTTTGCTTTTTATTTCTTGTCGAGACGATTTTTCGTATAACACTGAGCTGCTGGAGCACTTCATTTGCCATGTGGTCCTTTCTTCCTCCTCCATTCTCCTAGTCACGAATACTTGCAGATTTATGTCCTTATAACGTCCAAATCACTTCTGCATTTAGTACTTATTTTGAGACTTTAATGAAGTACATTTCATGACCTGATTCTCCAGCTATATGTCTGGTAACTTTGACCAATGTTGCATCATCTGGTGGTCATCCTGCTGGCGTTCTTGATGTCCCTGAAGGGAATAAATAGAAATATTTGAAAAGACTCTTAGCCGTTTCGAGATATCATTGATATTTATCACTGCCTCACCTCGAACATTATCTTTCCCCCGTCACCTTTTGACTTTGTTCGAAATTTGATATCACTTTTGCTTGGTAGCTGTCACTTACGTTAATCTACTTTCGTGAGCATATTTCGTCAAAAGGATATCAAATTTTTCAATTTTGAGCAATCACGTCAGTGAGTCTGACTCAATGCGACACAGCTTCATGGCATTTTGTCTGACAACTGTTGTCGTGGTTACATGCAGAAGTGTAAACCGGGTGAAGTGACAGAGTGTAGATAGCTTACTCCCTTTTCCTAGGCTTCCACTAACAAGCTATCTTCTTCCCAAAAGTTAGGTTATTTTTACTTCTGCCGTAACAAATAAAAGGTATTTTGATGTATTGATATACTGCTTATCCATTGTTTCATCATTGTGTTTCTTCTCGAAATTGTTGCACGAAGCAATTTCTCTACTCCTCCATTTTGGATTTCTCGCATCCACTTAATTTTGCACAGCCTTTCAAGCGAATTTTCTCGTTAAATTGGGGGCTTTCTGTGTTTTTAGCAGTGTCAGAACATTCAGCAATGAACAGTCCTCGGGTTTTTTGTTGCAGAAACCCAAGAACATCCATATTAACAACCTAGCCATCAGTTTAAACGCAATATTATTTATTAAAGTGTTCCATAAAAAATGCCAAGATCACTACCAGTGATGCCGATTTTTTCCAAAGTTTCCTTCTCAGAATTTTTGTCTGCGACATCGCAAGTAATTGAAACTTGTACAAGATAATTTAGAATCAGGGGCGCTCAGCATATACTTACATCTTAGTAAAAACGGGGGAAGGAACTTCTTAAATGCCAGTATAGAGCGCTCCGTCTTCAGATTATGCTTCAGGAACCGACCTGTACTTAGCAAATTCTTCTTCCTTGATGACGTAGGATTTACCTAGTCAGTACTTTTCCTCATAAAAAATGGTGGCTTGTGAATGGCATACTATGATTGTCCCTCTCAATAGTTAACTTCCTTTTCTTTCTCCCTCTGTCCTCTTTCTCTCTCTCCTTTCTTATATCCATCTTGCATATTATTCACATAAATGTCCAGCACATGCGAAATGATTCTTACTCTTACTCGGATGCAAAGATTGTTACTCTTACCCGGATACAAAATTGTATGCTTACAGCTAAGGAATGAAACACAGACTGCATCCTAACATGCTTTCTTACACATGTTACTTAATCCAATCCCTAATCTCTTGTTCTACTATTTCACTTAGGAAGAAACTCATTAACTTAATACGCTGACGGAAGTAGCGCCTCCAGGGCCAAAATTTAAAAGCATTCATTTTTTTTTTTCTAGTTAGCATAAAGAAGCATGGATGGTCGATTCCCGAAACTTCGGAAGAATGCCGAGGCAGCAGCGTGCTGCCTCTCACGTTACTCCTTCTTGTTAGTTTTTCTTTTAAATTTCATTTTTATGCATTCTTGCGTAAATCTAAGAAAATGCATCATGGTTAGCCATAATTGCTTCCATGTGTTTGTTCGTTTTTTAATATGTTTATATATTTCTGTATGCGTGTATTTATGCATGTTTTTGTCTTGGTGTACACATATACGCATGTTTTTATATGCGTATGTACGTGTATGTCTTTGTTTATTTGTACGTACATGCGTGCATGAGTTGTGTGTTTACTAACAGACTTTGTTTGGGTGCCGTAGCGTAAATTTCTATTTAAGCAGCTGTTTTTCTTGCTGGCAGCTTCAATCTCCTGATCTGAAAGCCATTAATCCTACAGTCCTTGTTGAACTCGTTGAAAAGCAGACATAAGTGAATAAAAGTAAACTAAAATAAGCACATACAGAAATAATAATATAACTATGAATAGGAAGAAATCAAAACCGTTTATGCAAATGCTGGCCTCCTTACCGTATCGCGACCTCGAATTACCTTCGATCCACTTTATAAACAACCCTCGGCGAAGGAGATGATTGGATGTTACTGACACTTTACTGTCTTGTTAATGATTGATTGTTACTAACATAGTACTGTCTTCGAAATGCGTCTTTATGGGGATAAAGACGGAAGTTCCGATTTTGTCTGTCGACAGGTGGAGGCTTTTGTGAGAATCAGAAATACAAAAAAAGTTTCGATTTTGTCTGCCAGACTTGAATATGTATCTCCCTTTTGTGTTTTACAGGTTCGTCATGCCGACACTAGTGCGAGGTTATCAGAGGCAGCTGGAAGAGAATGATATGTATGAGCCACTGCCGGAGCAGGATTCTGAAACAGCAACTCGGCGCATGACTGAGTTCGTTTTAAGTTAGAAATATACAAAAATTTATTGGGTGAACTGCACAGAAAGGTTGAGTAAAATAAGGGATCTCGTCATAATCTAGGAGTAGCAACTTTCGAATCTATTCAACATACACCAGTTATGTATTGGAACGACTGAAGCCTTGCCAGATTCCTTCAGCAGAACTAACAAGCTAGTAATCCGTAAAAGAGAAGAAACGAATATCAGGATCATCAGCAAATTGACTACCAGATGATGGTCTAAGAAACTGCGGTTTCCCATCTGCATATTAAACATTACTACGAACTGCAACTGATCAAGATCTCCTGCATTCTGTTCCTGTGGTAGGTGAAGACATTTAAGGAGTAACCCGATTAATAGTAAATGGCAAAGCACTACTCGCTAGTAAGGCTGTGGTTTGTTTCTCTTAAGAAGGTTGCTTAGAAGCAAGCTGATGGCGGTTTGGACTCCTTGACACGGTCCTTTTTATCTCTCGACGTTGCTAATTTACCATCCAAATAAATGAACGAATCGTAAAAGGGATCGGTTGTTCCATTGGTGGAATCAAGCCTTCAGCCTGCTGCACGGCAGTAGCACTGTTTTTTTTTTTTGTGACACGAATGCTAAATTAATTTTTAAGTTGCATAGAACTGAGCTCATAAAGGATAAATTTCTTGTAAAGGCCGAGTTTTTCCTTGAAATATTAACTGGAAAAATTTGAGACAAGAAAGGGAATGTTAATGAAGAGCTGTCAGTTTTGTCAACTTGTCAGTTGTATCCGTTCACTGAACTCATTTTCGAGAAAGAAAATGTCTCGTGTAATACGCATTC